AGAATAATGTTCTAAAACAAAATAAAGCTAGCTGCATATAATTCAAAATATATATGTATAAATACACAGAGAATGGTGTAGAAACATCCCACCAATTTGTTAACTGCTTACCCTTTGGAGCTAGATGATTGTGCTGGATAAAGACAATGAGAATGCAGAGTGGTTTTATTTCCAATGGTCAAATGTTTTTAATGAATATATCAATTTATTAGCTAGGCAGTTATAAATCAAGTATAATTTATACCATAAATTTAAACCACAAATTTAAGAAACCTATAATAGAGGTATTAGGAAAGTCATGTGAGACCATATGAAAGGAGAAATTACTTAGCACAAAGAAGGATTTTATAACAGTCATGACATTTTCTCTGGGCCTTGCTATTTGAATAGGATTTTGTCAAATATTTATAAAGTGATAGAAAGTTGATAGACATTTTCCAAACACACAAACGGGCACATAAATGTATATGCCAACGTGCATCCAACCCAATGTTTGCTTTTTTTTTCCTTTCAGCATTGTATGAAATCCATGTATCCATGGAGAGGTAGAGGGCTTCTCTCCTGTCTGCTGAGCTTTGGCAGGACTTTGCAACTGCCTGGATGAACTGAACATAATGGTAGCACCATGACATGGCTTCTGGGATCGATTATTCAGCTTCTACTGGACAGAATATACTCACCCTGGGAACCCAGTCACCATGCTGTGAGGAAGCTCTCGCTAGCCCACGTGGAAAGACCACTTAAATAGGCTCATGCAGAGAGGAACTGAGGTCCCCAGTGGATAGCCAGCAGCAACGGCCAGACACACGAGGGAGCCAGCCTTCAGAAGATTCCTGTCCTGGCCTTTGAGCTCCTCAGCTGAGGCTCTGACATCTATCCATCATGGAAGAGGCAAGCCATCCCCACTGTGCCTTGTCCTAGTTCCTGACCCAGAGAATCCATGAACATAATAAATGGTATTTACACCACAAAACTTAGACCGGCATGTCACCCTGGAACAAAGGCAGTATAAAGAAAAGGGACTACACACGGAATGTCGCAGAGTCCTGAGAGTACTGACTGTTTGGGGTAATGGGATCAGAAAGATAAGCTGGGATCAAACTATGGAAATTTCATATGACAATATGAAAAAATTAGATTTATCTCACTGGCAGCAGAGAGTTGTTGACAGTTGTGAAGATGGGAAGTGAAATGCTAGGATCTGCATTTTAGCAAGCCAGGGAAAGGCTGGAGAAGAGAAAGGCTTAAAAATAGGAAAAGGATCTAGGGAGATGGCTCAGTAGATAAAGTGCTTGTTGCACATAAAAGCAGAGTAGGCGTGGAGCCTGACACAACCCTAGCACTCAGGAGACAAAGACAGGATTCCAGGGCAGGCAGGCTAACACAACTAGTAGGAATTGGGGAGCTCTGGACTCGGTGAGAGAGTCTGACTCAGTAAACAAAGTGGAAAGCCATTGAGAATGACACCTGGCATTAACTCCGAGTCTCTTCTACATATGGCATGTGCATATACTTGCACATACACATCCATACATGAGCACACACACACCCCACATACTCACATATTAAAAATAACATGAAGAGCCCCTCTGGCTTAGAAAAACAGTGGAGGCATTCCCTTGTGTAGCACGTTCTGTGGCTTCTCATCTTCAGGGTGGCCTCTTGAAGCTATACTCAACTTCACTTGTGTTAAAGTGTTAGAGGGAAAAACATATTCATACAAAACCCCATATCTGTAGAATCAAAAGCAACCAGAATGTTCTATAGTGGGCAAATCAATGATCTTATTCTGTACTCAGGAGAAAGGAGTGATCCTGCCAAGAGGAGAACTTTCAGTCAGGTAAGAACCTCAAAGAAGCCAATCTAAAGTAGGTGCTTATGCATGATTCCAGTGCTACGGCATTATAAGAAAGGAAACGCTATGCAGACAGTGAAAAAAGGTCAGTGGCTGACAGGACTGAGGGGGGCGGGGTGAACAGTGGAGCACAGAGGGCGCGTGGGGTAAGGCTACATTGTATGGTGACAGTGGATGTATGCCATGCCAGTTACGCTCACAGATGTCCCACACCAAGAGTGAACTGGGACAAAGCTACAGACTTAGAATGACCGTTGCATCAATACAAGTCTGACTGTAATAAACGTGGCAAGCGACAAGCTGGCTGTTTTGCACAGGAGCAGAGACACGCTGCACTTTCCACTGAGTTCTGCTGTGAATCTAAAACTGCTCTCAGAAAGAAAGTCTATATTTGACATGCTCGGAGCAGAAATGTTAGGCGATGTTAGAACACAAGAAAGTTTTCCTTACTGCTCTGCCTTCAAGTTTTCGGATTTGGGCTGCTTGCTGTAAAGGGTGTCACAGGAACACTAAGCAAGGCAGATGTGGTGGCATTCACCTTCAATCCCAGCACCCAGGCAGCGGAGACAGGTGGATCTGAGAGTTATTTCCAGGACAGCCTGGTCTACGTGGTGAATTATAGGCCAGTCAAAGCTACAGAATGAGATACTGTCTCAAAAATTAATTAATTAAAATTTAAATGTCAAGCAAACTGTCCCTGGATTATAGCCATTTATAGCAATTACCTGTGCAAATGCTATCCCACACACGTATTACCACAACCTCAAGTTTTGTTGCATTTATTAAAATATTCTTTAACTTCTCACAAGCGTTTAGAAGGAACCATTTATGAAGGTGCACTTGTGCTTGTAAGGAAAGTGAGCCCACACTAGCACACTGGGGGCCACGAGGAGCCACCTCTGTGAGACAGGATAGGACTACTAAAAGCTAGAAAAGCAGAGAGACAAGGTGGAGGGTACTGAAGACATCTAATGAAAGCTTTTGGGTCCAGTCCCAAGACACTCTAGCCCAAGGTCCTCTCAGGGTTTACAGAGGAAGCAACATCCAGTGAAGATCTGAGGGCAAATGAACAAACTCACACATGTTTGTTTTTGTTTTTGTTTCTTTTTTTTTTTGAATCAGCCTTTTAATTCTTCTGCTTCTTTTCTAATACTCATGTCCTACTTCTAACTTTTCCTTGATTCTTTCTCTAGATTTTTTTCTCTGGCTTCAAAACTCTTTTCCCCCAGGAACATTGACTTAATAAGGAAATTACAAGGGTTACCTCTCATTGGTCATAAGCACATTCCTAGGGTAAGTGATAAGGAGTTGAGCCATTGCCATGGCAACACAAGGGTTTCAAGGTTTCAGCAGTGAAACAGTAACCAGATTTGGGCTGGGGGGCACAGTGCCCAATAGCAAACTTTGAGATATAGGTCTTTTGTTAGCAGACTAGCAAGTAAAGAACTGGTATGCTTTTCTTAGAGTGCTTTGTGTAGCAACCTAGGTTGGCCATCTGCGACAGTGACCTTGTGCACAGTTGTAAGGTTTTAAACTTATGATCCATTTACAAAAAGTCTCTAGTCTCGTTTGAACTTGCTTTGAGGTGAAAGTGAGCTAATTGTGTACAGTTAGTCTGAGCAAAAGAACAAAGCAGGCTTTTAAGTGTCCACAGCCCTTGTGGGACAAATAGATCTAGTTATAAAGCATGTCCCAGCATATATTCTATACACAAAATTATGTAACTAAATGAAAAGTCATCTTTCTGAACATCCATAGATATATGTGCCCATAATATTGAGATGCAATCATGAGATTACATATACACATCACATGAAAATGCATGGTAGTGGGGAGATATCATAACTGTTATTGCACAAGGGAAATTACAGAGGAAAGCAGCAGTTTTCAGAGTCAGTGGTCTGCAGCCTTGCTGACAGGGTACCCCACCAGGGAATACTTCCTCTGCTAGGTTGACATCTGAATTATCGATTGCTATATGATGTAATTGTGTCATGGCCCACAATAGCTCGTAATAAATGCTCCTGATAGATGTCTCATTCATATCTTGGGGAAGGATGGTCCACCATACTTGCTGAGCAAACCTAGAGGAAAGCCTATTGCAGCCAGGATGCAGTATGGTGTAGAGTATGCACTTAGCATGAATGCCATGCGGCCTGGGCTCCATCTTCAGCTCCAAAGTATATCACAAACTGGGACTTCATGTAGAGCAGAGACTGGAAGGAAAGGTTCAACCAGAGCCAGACCACAAGGTCCTGACAGCAGCAGAGCCCAGATGAGACCCAATATTGTCATTTACTGGAGGTGACTTTGGTGTCATTTTGTGTATTTATCCTGTGCCCTTTCCTCCAGGTTTTTGAGACAGGGTCTTACACTGCAGTCCAGGTTGGCATGGATGTGGCTGGCAATCCTTCTGTCTCACCATGCTGTGTGAGCCACCACACCCAGATCTATATTGTGCCCTTTTCTAATGTCAATTATTCACGAGATGATTAAGTAGGCTGTGGGATTGAGGCTGTGCATTATGCTTATGCACATTTTCATTTAATGCCTGTTTTAGAAGGCGCTCCCTCATTAAACTTCATCAAAAATAAATTACACTAAACATCCTAAAACTGGGCTGGAGAGATGGCTCAACAGTTAAGCTGGCTGCTCTTACAGAGGACACAGGCTCAATACCCAGCACCCACATGGTGGCTCACAACTGTCTATAATGCCAGTTCCAGAGGATCTGCTACCTTCTTCTGACCTCCATGGCACAAAGGCACATACGTGGTACACAGACAAATATGCATGCAAAACACTCATACATATTAAAAAGTAATAAAAATAAATCTTTTTCTAAGAACAGAAAATTAGTTCTGCTCTTTAAAGCTTTCAAAAAAGTTCAAGGTTTACAGTTAATTTTTAGACAAAATGAAAAAGAAATGAAAGAAGCAAAAGTCAGTGAAGCAAGTGACTGACAAACTGGGAGCCTAAGGTCATGGCTGGATAGATTTATCATACAGTCCTGTCCTGGATTACCAGCAACAAACCAAGTCAACTGTTGCTATATTTCAAAATCAAATCTTATATTTGTGCAGACTTTCCTTCTAGTGCATCTTACACATGCTTCTGGAGAAACTTCTGTCCATAACCAAATTACCTGCATCCCAGAGGTTGCAGACTTCCGCTTCCTCTTCTGACATCCAGGAAGTAGGAGAGGTAATGGAAGGAGGTATCGCAGGCAAAAGTTGCTTCGGACACTCGTCATGCAATAATGTTAGGTCCTGACAGAAACAAGAAAGAATACATGCATTGAAAACCACAAGCTGCATCAGAGAGATGGTTCAGCCATTAAGGAAAGGCTGGAGCTGAGTTTCAGCATGTGCATCCAACAGTTCGCAACTGCCTGTCGCTCCAGTTCCAGGAGATCTGATGCCTCTGGCTTTGGAAGGCACTGCACTCACGTGCACATACCCAGACATATGATCAAAAGAAAATCAGGTGTGTTGGCTAGTTTTATGTCAACTTGATACAAGTTACAGTCACTGGAGAGGAAGGAGCCTCAACTGAGAAAATGCTTCCATAAGATCAGGCTGTAGGGCATTTTTAAAATCATTATGGGTGGAGCCATCCCTGGGCTGGTGGGTTCCGTCGTCCCCCCCCCCCCACCGGTTTATTAGAAAGCAGGCTGAGGAAACCAGGTGGAGCAAGCCAGTAAGTATCATACCCCATAGCCTCTGCATCAGCTCCGGCCTCCAGGTTCCTGCCCTCAGTGCTTTGAGGATAACTATAACATGGAACTGTGAGTAAAATAAACTCTTTCTTCCCCAAGTGGCTTTAGGTCATGGTGTTTCATCATAGCAACAGTAAACCTAACTAGGACTTCACGTGTTTGGGATCTGACATGAATTCAGTCAGGAGACACAGCATTTCTATCCCAGGCTCCTACAAATCTGTTAGGCCTGTCTGTACTTTTGACATTTAAAGTGTGTTATATAAATGGGACCACACAGTATGCAACCCTTTATGGCTGGCTCTTTTCATCTAGCATAGTTCCTTGAGACTCACCCAAGCTGTTGTGTGCACCAAAAGTCCCTAACCCTTCCCTGCTGAGGTGCACACCAGACACTGAGGTTTAACCCATTCAAATACATCTGGTTCTTTTAGATTTGGGCTGTTACAGATAAACTTTCTGGGTGTAGGCTTTTATATGCTATAAGTAAATTTCCATGTCTATGAGATACTATGGGTACCATTGTTGGGGTATATGGATGGATGTTGCATTCAGGTTTTGTTGTTTTTGAGACAAGATCTCACTATGTAGCCCTGGCGGGCCTAGAACTCACAGAGATCTATCTGCTTCTGTCTCCTGAGTTTGGGGTTAACTGTACCCAGCACAGACACCTATTCAGTTGGTTCTATTTTTTAAGATTTATTTATTTATTGTTTATGAATGTTTAGCCTGCATGTGTATCTATGTACCATTGTATCCCTAGTGCCCAATGAAGCCAGAAGAGGGTATGGAATCCCTTGGAACTGGACTTACAGGTGGTTGTGAACTGGTATGTGGGTGCTGAGAACCACACCTGGGTCCTCTACAAAAACAGGAAGTGCTTTTAACCACAAGCCCTATATCCCCAAAATGTGTTCCATTTTATAAGATACTACCAGTTGTAGGGTGACTTCACCTTTTTAAATTCCTACCAGCAGAACAGGAGCAGTCTGATCCCTCCACATCCTAATCAGCATGTGGTACTGTCACTGTTTCTGGTTCAGCCATTCTGAGAGTTCACTGTGTGTGCCTCCAGGCTGACAATGCTGGCCATCTCTCCCAGCATCTCTTTACTATCCATATTTGCTGAAATATTATTCAATTTATTTGCCCATCATCTGACTTCAAGTTTGCTGAGTTCTTCCATAAATGGGCTCTGGACTCTATCAAATACATTACTCTATCAAGTGAAATTATCTTATCATTTTTTTCTTTAGCTTGCTAACAAGACAAATTACAAGAGCTCAGATTGACATGCCACCAACTCAAGTCAAGCCTATCAGACTATGAGAACCTCTTCTATTTTGTATCTGTATCTTCTTTCTTTCCATGCAAAGGCTATAAAAGATAATGCAAACAGAGTGTATCCATGGTTACCTGTTGGATTTTGCACACATTAAACTCATCATCACTTCAGAGCAAAAATACTAACATCAGAAGAAAACCCCCAAATGAATGCAAGGTACATTAATTTCATTTTATATTTTAGTAATTACATTTTATAATGATACAAAGCTTTCCAGGTTCTCAATGGCAAAAATCTACACATAGTTGTGTGTGAGTGTGTGTATGTGTGTGTGTGTGTGTTTAAATCTATGTCCTTCATTGATGAGAAAATGTGGTATCTGGTATCTGATTCTGGCTTATTTCACCATGATTTTCATGACAGTTTTATTCATAATGAACAAAACTTGGAAGCAAGCTTTGGTAGATAAATGGGTGAATCAGTAGAATGTCATTTAGTGCTAAAAAGAAATGCAAACTTCTACATCGTTAACCATTTCCATTGAGTTGTGTGTGTGTGTGCGTGCAAGAACACATGCCTTTGCACAAGCATTTGAAGGTTGGGGGATCACATGGGATGCCCTCTTTCTCTCTATGCCGCATTCTCCTGAGACAAGGTCTCTTCACACGGAACCTTGAGCTCGCTGTGGTTTGTAGTGATACTCCTGTCTCTGCCCTCCCTGTCCCCGTCCCTCCAATCAGCACTGCAGTCACAGATGCTCACGGTCACACACACTTTCTTAGCACGGGTCCGCAGGCTCTGAACTCAGGCCCTCAGGCCTGCACAGCAGGTGCTCTCACCGCGTGGGCCATCTCTGCAGCCTCACAAATAAAATTCTTAGCAGAACAGAGCTTTCAAAAGTAGAGCAGGGCTCACTAGAGTATTACTTTCAAAACTAAGGAAACATTTGTTTATAATTGACACTGCTCTGTTTTCTTTCTTCAGACTCTCCATAGTTTTCATTATTAAATTTGATAATAAGGTTATTTGTAGCTTTTATTACCTCAAAAACTAAAACAAAAATAAAAACCCAAAAAACCCTTCTTTGCTGTCCGAGGAAACTGAAAGAAAAAAAGAAAGACTCAAGGTTGCGATTGGGGAGAAAGGGGGATTGCAGCTGTTTCCATAGCAACTGATAGGGATGTTGTGAAGTGGTTCACACAAAATTAAAGCTGACCAAAAGCTTCTATGTCATTGTGAGTTCCTAAATCAATAGTGATGGACGATAAATGTCTGTTCTGTTGCTTCCACTTAGTATTTTGCAAAATGAGGAATATACAGATTTTACCCTTTGGTTTATTTCTGTGCAATTTGTCCTATTTGCAGAAATTTGAACTTATCAGAGTTGTTAGAGAAGTGGAAATTATGCTTAATCTAATTATGTTTGCTCATCATTCCCATCTCTGCAACATCATTGCTTCTGCTTAAAAGTCCATTTAATGACTATATTTGTGCTTTTATTATTATTTTTTTAGAGAAAATACTCACTGCAAAACACCAAACAACATGAATGGCAAAGAATAAAGAACGAAGTTCCTGCTCATTCCTCCAAAGGCAGTGCTGAGTGCTGGGTGCCTCTCCTGGGGCAGCTAGTGGAAGCTAAATGGAGTCACTATATATGTATACATGTATGTATGTGTGCATGTATGTATTGCCCTCTACCTTGTTCATGTGTATGTATATATGCATGCATGTATGTATAGCTCTCTAGTCTTCCCAGGAGCAAGCAATCTACCTTGTCCATCTTTCTACATAATAAATACAATCATTCATCGTGTGTTGTCCCTACAAAGGCTTCTTTCACTGAAGTACACATTACAAATGTGCTTCTTTCAGGATGAGCTGAGCTGTGTTCCTGATGTGTAAATTAACTTAATCATCCCCTACTGATAATCATTTCAAGATTTTTCTTGTTTCTATCTATTAAAATTGCTGCAATAAAAAGCTTCATACAGCCACCTCTTCAAGCTGTACGTTCACAGTGGCATCGCTGAGTACTCACACGGGTTTCTTTTCAGTGTGAACGGTGCCAAATTGTGCTCTCAGAAGTGGCACCTGCTTGGATCCAGCAGCGTGTTGGAGAGATTCTTCCTCTCAGTGTAAATACAGGTTGGTAGCAATTAAACATTTTTTCCATCAGTGGTAAAGGCATACAATTTTATTTTACCTAATTATATATGAGACTGAGTAACATTTTGTGAGGTATTTCACACTTTCAGGTGTATATGTTTGGTGCTGTTGATTGGATTCAGGACCCTAAGTACATAAAGCACTCTCTGCCACTTAGCTGCAGCCCCAGTTCCCCCCCCTCCCCCGCTTATCAACTTCTTAATGAAATTTAATGTATTAATTACTCATTTTTGGGGTGTAGGGGAGGGGACACGCACGCCACAGTTCATACACAGACATCAGAGCACAACTTGTGGGAGTTGGTTTTCTCTTCCACCACATGGGTCCCAGGGATTGGACTCAGGTCCACAGGATTGGCAGCAAGTCCTTCACCCACAGAGCCATCCTGACTGCCCTCTTTATCAATTTATAAACCGACAATGCATTTAAAAAGTATATCATTAACAGCATAGTATTCATGCTTAGTTTTTAACTTCTTAAGAATTTCTACTTTATCTTTTTACCTTATAGAAGTCTTAACTTTTGTGTAGTCAATCAGTTCTCCAATTCCATTGTTACTCCTGGAGCTTCACTGTTCTCAGAAATATTTGTCTTACTTGAAGACTTTATAAAAAGTCTCCTCTAAGAAAGCAGAATATATTTCAGTGCTATTTTGGCTTTACAGACTAATTGAGCAGAGGGTATCGGTTTCTCTGTGCATACTGTCCATCTTACCTGCAGCGTTACTGTAGGCATGGTCCCTGATGGTAGGCTGTTGCAGCAGACTGCAGACACATACTCACTCAGGTCTGTAGTTAGCACTGGACATACCCCTGCTGCCATTCATGCTTTGAGTTCTGGCAAAGGGCTAATGACACATGCTGATCATTACTGTATAGAGAAGTTTCCCCAAAAGCCTCCCTGAGCTGCCAATGACCCTTCCTGCACCCCAGAGACTCCAATCCTTGTACTCTCAGAGTCTGCCCATTCCAGACCCCTCTTTCTGGACTCCTGTGGTACATACATTGTCAATGACCTCTTGCACTTAGTAATGGGTATTAAAGTTCCCTCCATGCCTTTATGGATTACTGGTTCATTTCTTTTTATTTCATTTTAATTTTTTCCACTATTTTTATTAGAAGACTTAAGTTTACATAATGAAAACTAATGAAACATGAACAGAACCAAATAAAAATGAAACTTGTGACTGGAGCACTGGCTCAGTCAGCAAGAGCACTTGCCGCACAGGCATGAGGACCTGAGTTCAGATCCCCAGCACCCATGTTAAAAAAAAAAAAAATTGGGTGTGACCATGCACATCAGCTGCTCTTCCAGAGGATCCGAGTTCAGTTCCCAGCATCTACATCTGTTGGCTTAACAACTGTCTGTAACTCCAGCTCTAGGTAACACCTCTGACCTCCAAGGCACTGCACACAGGAGACATTCACTCATATAGGCATACACAGCCATATAAAGAAATCTCTAAAAATAGATTCTAAAATAATTTTGTCTCTTTTAAGATAATTTACTCTCAGATGTGGAAAGATGCTGTGGGAGTTCCTTCAGCTCCTTCAGCCAATCGCCGCTGAGTTACCAGCCCATTGGGGCGTGGTCTCTCTCCCTTTAAAAAAAGCAGCGGCTGTCCTCCACTCTGTCTTTGTCTTCCGGCTCCGTTTCCGGCTCCTGGACTCCTTTCCTGTTCGCGTGGAGGGGCTGTTGTCTGGGACGGTAATCTGTAAGTTTTTTCCCCTTTGAATAAATAACCATTCTATTAATCATAATTCCAAACTGGTGTGGGATTGTCTGTGACTTACGCCTTCAGAAAGAGAATAGTTAACAAGGTTTCTATTTGAGTTTTTTCAGAGATATTTCAAAGGCACCTCACTCTGCCTGAGCCCTGGACACGGCTCCCTTCTGCACGGGGAAGCAGGGGCTGGCTGGTCATGTAGCTGAGCCCTCCAGGAAGTTCACTACAACACTCAGCTTTACTGTTCAGCTTGCTAGAGTTTGTGTTCTGCTACAGGAACAGCTAGAGGAGACACAGTGGACTGCACTGAATGTCCTGGTGTGACAGGAGGCCATGCTTGTCAGGACGGTTAACACACAACCAAGCCTTAGAAAGTGGAAGCTCAGCTTCTAGAACACTCCCGTGAAAACAGCTACCATCTTCTCACTGACACAAAATACCATACTATATAAACCAGTGAGTGAGGGTGCCTCTAAAACCAGACAAAAGTGTCAGGACCTAAAGGCTGAAATAAGAAATCAGGTGGCATTTTATGTCTCTGGTTCTACTACATAGAGGGATATTCAAGTCTGTTCTACTGAAAAGCTATCAGCATCAAAGCAATAGTAAAATTTAAGATCATTTCACCTCATGTTTTATTTTTTAAAATTATCTAGTTTTATTTTTTAAAAATCTGTAAGTTGTACATTAAAGGACAGTAAAATTGAACTATATAAATCCCTTTTCAAAGTTGTAGGAAAGCCATTAAATTCAGTACCTAAAAGGGCTAAGGAAAGAGTCAAGATTCCAAAACCCCTTCCCAAGAAATGCCGTAGATGGTCAAGGAGCCGCATTCATAGGAAAGGAAGAGCAGGCAGCACACTCGACCTCTGTTCATACAGGAAGGAAGCAGGAGCCACCTGAGGGGATGAGGGGACAGACACACTTCCCCAGCAGCGGGTCACATGATGGGACACACCGCCCTGGCTCTACGGACCAGATGGGCAATATCTCTGACATCAGTGGAAGAGGGGAACCTCAAGATGCTAGTGTGAGTCCTGCAGCTAACACTGCAGAATGGCAGGAGCAGGCAAATGAGGACCTGTTAATCAGGGAGGCTAAGAGGGACTCTATACCTACACGCGCGCGCACACACACACACACACACACACACACACACGCACACACACACACGCACAAATGCACACATGACCCATGCAAGAAAAACTTAAGATCTAATCATCTAAAACCAAAAAGTTCACTCTTGACAAAATGAAAATAAACAGATCTAAAAAACATCAGAATAAAATACGTGCAGATGCCCTGAAAGGACATCATACATTAAAGGATAGCCAGTGAGGGAGAAGCAGGGGCAACTGTGTCTGCTATCCCAGCCTTCCCCACTCTAACTGCCATGTGTTTCTAAAGGACTTTTTCACCTAACATCTGTCTCTGTGATTCCATCAAATCTGGGGAAACTCTTTAGTACTACAATTACCACTTAGAGAAAAGTGCACAAGAACAGAACTAAGTAACGTTGAGTGAACAGAAGTGATCCGAGGTCCTGGGAGAGAAGGCATTCGCTGAAATGCAAACAACTCCCAGGGCAGGGACAGTTCTAGGCACCAACAAATGAAAGGACACATGGACTGGAAGACAGTCTGAAATGCAGCAGGAATGATGGAAGACAAAAAATAATTGACAGATTAAATGGTCCAAATGCATTCTTAATAGATACTAAGCAGAAAGAATTCCAAAGCAATAGAAAAAAATAAACAGCACAAATTAAAAGAAAACTCAACATGATTTTGCCTTGTTGATATTTAAAACCCTGAATAACATAAAACGCCAATGTCAAGATGCATCTTTTAGCACATAACCCGCAGAGTTGCAAAGGAACACACTCAGGTTTTAATGCATGTGCTTGGTTACCTGGCACAGTGGCAAAGGGAACTGGAGCATCTCACCTCTGTTGATTTCCATGTCTTCATCCTGAGCGGAGGAGAGTCCTTGAACAGGGAGGGTCCAGCAGGCGAGGGGACATCCTGGCACTGCTCCAGCCTCAGCCTTGCCTTGGAGGTGTTTTCTGCCAACAACATAAACTGTCAACAAAGCTTTACTTTGGAAAAAAAGTATTATTTCTGTATTTGTATATAACTTTAATTACTTTTGAAGATTAATTCCACCTATTAAATTCACATCACACACCAATATCCACCTCTGAGGATGCACTACTTTATAACACTGGCGAGCCTAGAGGGGTTCAAAATCTACAGTGTGAAGTATGGTCCTGTCTTATCTCAGCAATTATGTTGTAGTTTTATTATCTGAAGTATTTTGAAAATAGCGTAAAATGTAGTGGTAATTATAGTGTAGCACATAGTATCATACAACAAACCAGAACTTACAAAGTTTATTCACTGGGAATCTTAGAATCACAAGAATGATGAAAATAAGTATTACAATATTTAAGGATTCTTAATCCTGAAAAGTGAATCTCATGTGTTTTGTGTAGGAGGAACAGATCATAAATGTATAGATTATTTGAGGAGGCAAATAATCCTTTAATATAAAACAAAAATTAAGCATAGAAGAGAAAATACACCAAAGAAGATAAACTGGTATATTACATTTGGCATATTTTGTCTATGGCCATACTACCCTGAATGTGCCCGATCTCATCTGATCTCAGAAGCTAAACAGGATCGGGCCTGGTCAGTACTTGGATGGGAGACATTTGACATATTTTTCAGTCTTAATATCCTTCATCTTCCTAGATTAGTTACTGTCTATTAGTACCAGCTCTAACGGTAAAACTTTAGGTCAGGACGCAGCTCAGTTGTACAGCATTTACTCAGCATACATGAGCTCTAAAAGTATTAGTGATACTCTATCTCAGGATGCTGTGGTAGACAATAAGAGGTATAAGACCACTGTCTTCATGTTGGTGTCTGTACACTTGTGGGGAGCCTAAGTACTCCTGGGGCCTAAGATCACACTGACCCTTTTAAAGGAATCAATTTCCAGCTCTGCAGCATCTGCAGATCTTTCTTCCAAAAGCTCATCTGCCTGAGAGGGCTTGGCCAGCTCTTTCCTTTTTGTCATTCATAATTTCCCCTACTCCACAAATCAAAGACTTATCATCCATCCACTTTGTGAACGGGTCTTCTTCCCCAAACATAAGGTACCAATAGTAGGAACAGAAAACAAGCAAGCCACCTCAAGGAGACCTCATTTAGTCAAGACAGGAAAGGCCCGGCATCTTGTCCCAGACATAGTCTTTTGAAAAGCAAAATAATGGCAATATGGGATACTTACGCTGGTCTACACCAGGACACCTGATATTCTGAAAAACTGTATTACACACAGCATGGAGCAGCAGGACAGGTGGTCAATTTTATTTAACATTCATGTGCTTTCCATCCTCAGCTATGATCAAATTACACATCACTCCTAAGGAAGAATTCCCTGAGAGCAGAGCAATGAAAGCCGGCATATATGGGTGGGGGCAAGGGGAAGTCTTTATGTTATCAGTGCAGCAGTTCACAAGGCTCCGAGCCTGAGCTAGCCACCTTAGGAAAGGTTTAAGAGTCCTGTGGCAGCATGGTGGTGCACACCTGAAATCCTAGAATTGTGGAGGCACAGGCAGGAGGATCCTGAGTTCAGGGCCAGTGTCTGCTACATATAGATTCTAAGGGCAGATTGGGCTCCACAAGAAGCCCCCAACTCCAAACAGATGGTAGGCAGGATGACTTAGTGGGTAAAGGCACCACACGTTGTTCTCTGACCTCCACTCACATGCTATGGCATGCATGGGCACACATACACATGCACTTATGCACCCAGCATAAGTAAATAAAAATGTAATTGTAAAGGATATAGAGATTTGAATGTTGTCTTAGTTAGGGTTTCTATTGTTGTGTAGAGACATCATGACTACAGGAACTCTTAAAAGGAAAGCATTTAATTGGGGCTGGCTTACAATTCAGAGGTTTGATCCATTTTCATCATGGCAGCATGCAGGCAGATATGGTGCTGGAGAAGCAACTGAGAGTTCTATGTCTTGATCCACAGGCAGCAGAAGGAAACGATGTACCTCACTGGGCATAGCTTAAGCATATGAGACCTTAAAGCCCGCCTCCACAGTGACACACTTCCTCCAACAAGGCCACACCTACTCTCTCACTCCCTAATAGTGCCATTCCTTATGGGTCAAGTGTTCAAACACATGAGTCTATGGGGACACATTCCTATTCAAACTACCACAAAAGAAATGGGAGAGATGCTTATATTTATTAGAATAAATAAGGCACTTTGTGGAGAAAAGGCCACTTGAAATTCCACTCAATGTATTGTTTTCACAACGAAGGCTGCATTTCTCAAGTAGATTCTATGAGAGATATTTCTAAAAATTACATAAACCAAATCTGCTGTTCTGAAAAACTGAAAACATTTCAAGTATAAACTATAAAATCAGCTTCTGAAAAATACATCAACAGTTTCACAGTCAGTATTTTCATTTCCCTGCAATGTTTGATTAGGTTAGACAACAGGTGTAATTAATAGCTGATAAAATTTAGTACAGTGGATTTTTTGTATTATTCCCAGAAATTGAAAAAGTAAATTATTGCTAATGAGTGTTTAGAAAACTCTTTCCCCAAACAATGTGTTCCCAACTCTTTGCTTTCAATAGCATGGAAGAAAGACTTCATCAAGTTACAGTTGACAAGAGATAGGAAATATTTCTATAGTAAGCCACTAGGTAATTGTTGGCACATTCCTTGAAAGGAAATCACAGGACTGATTGACAGTGCTACAATAAAATACCTTCTAGTCCTGGCTATGATTTATGTGAACAAGTTTTTACAGCATTTCTATCTATAAAAATCATGAAATAAAATGGATGCAGCATCGTGCTTACAGTGAGCAATGAGTGGTATTCATGTGGGTAAATAGTCCCTCTTTGCTCATAAAAGCATATGCTTTCAATTAAGTTGATTCTTTATGTGTGATAAGTACTTATAAGAATGTACTATGAATTCCGTGCTTTTGATAGATTGTGTAGTAGAAAGCAATCTAGCCTGGCATGATGGCTGCATGTCTGTAAGCCCACACTTGGGCGGAGACAGAACGACTAAGTTTGAAGTCAGCCTGGATATCCAGCCTGGGCTCTACGGTGAGATTCTACTTCAAAACCACAATTTATTCATGTATGTATTCAAACATGAGAATACTACATATGAAGATAAGACTCAGTGAGGGTTGTGAAATCAAATCAGAGTTCCCCAAGAGAAAGGAATAACACAAAGTTTCCACAGATAAGGACCCTGTGTTTAAGTGAGTGCCTGCAGGTCTCAATCCTAATGGTGCTTACACTCCTTAAGATGTGGAAGGGAGTGGGAGAGCAGCCAGTGGGTAAGAGCACGCACTGTTGTTGCGGAAGACTTGAGTTTGACCGTCAGCACTCAGCGCCACACATCAGCCTGGAACTCCAGCTCCAGGGGAGCTAAAGTCCTCTTTTGATCTCCACTAGCACTCACTCATGTGCACAAACCTGCACAAAGACACACATATAGACATACACATAATTAAAAATAAAAAAGTGACAACATACACATGGCAAAACTTTCTTCTCTTTCTCTCTCTGTTTTGTACTCGACAATGAACTGGATATTATGCATACTAGGCATGAGCTCTTTGTATTTTATTTTGAGACATTCTCACTTGTAGTTCAGGTTGCCTTGAACTCATGATGCCCCTGCTTCAGCCTCCTAAGTATAGCTGGGATTACAGATGTCTTAGTTAGGATTTCTATTGCTGTGAAGAGGCACCTCTACCACAGCAACTCTTATGAAGGAAAACATTTAATTGGGGCTGGCTTACAGTTTCAGAGGTTTAGTCCATTATCATCATGGTGGGACATGGCAGCATGCAGGTAGACATGGTGCTGGAGAAGGAGCTAAGAGTTCTTCATGATCTCTTGATCTGCAGACAGCAAATGGAGTCCATGTTCCACACCGGGCATAACATGAGCATAGGAGGCCTCAAAGCCCACCTCCACAGTAACATACTTCCTCCAACAAGGCCACACCTACTCCCACAAAGCCAGACCTCCTAATAATGCCACTCCCTATGGGAGCCATTTTCTCTCAAACCTCAAGAGGTATATGCCATCATACCAGGCTTGGTTTGGTTTTTTTCTTTTATGTCTATATATAACATGCCAGACTTTAAAGTTATTTACCTTTAAAAAATTTCACTTTCAAGCCCCCAAATTTGTGAGAAGTATATAAGTCTGGGATCGTATAAGAAAAACACCTTAGAAGCAACAGGTCTTCATGAGACAGGCTCTACCTTCAAGAAGTTCACAGCCTGACAGGAAGTTAAGCCCTGCACACAGACAGGCTTACAGTGAAAAACTGGCTTTCCTAAGTAACTACAGAACATCCTCAAGTAAATTTGAAGGGTTTTTGAGGGGTGGTATACATCCCAGAAAACAGAGAAGTTAGAAATCATGTCTGGCAGAAGGAACCTCTTGGACAGAAGGCACAAAGACAGTAGGTGCCAGATCCTGCAGAAACTATGTTTGTAGCTTTTCATTTTGTTGTAACCTTACATGAAAATGAGTAATTAAAATGGGTTTATTTTTGACTTGGACATTTTCTAATTAATCTTGGCAAACAGTGGGACTCAGAGCTCCCAAGAAACTATAATGATTGCTCCTTCAGTAGTCAGCAGCAAAATTATTTCTGAAATGACATGGGTCTGGGCTTTCACAGCAGAGGGGTCAGTTAATAAGCACCTCAGAAGGTCCGTCTGAGAAAACTGTGGGAGAAGTCAAGCACAGAACGACTCACACAGGGGAACCCTCATGAATGTTTTGAGATGCACTCTGGCCCAGAATCACCCCTGTCATATCACTTTCCTTGCTGTAACCTTGAGGAAAAAAAGAAGAAGAAAGGGTTATCTGGCTTACAATTCCAGATCACAGTCGTCACTAAGAGGAAGTCAAGCAGCTAGTCACACCACAGTCAGCGCTGAGAGCGGAGAAATGAAAGCATTCACGCTGCTTGCTTGTTGCTGTAC